GAGGAGATTAAGATCAGAAAACATAGAGACAGAAAAAGATTAAAGGACGATCATTTTTAAAAACTCTCAAAAACTTTGTTATTTTAAATGAAAAAGTTTAGAGCATTAAAACTTGAATTCATCGAGCATAAATCTCCAAGGCTGACAAATGAATCTAATACAGGTGTGTCAATAATTGCAGTTCCTCCAGTGTCCACTAGAGTCTGTCTCCTGCAGTGAGTCAGTCCCCATAGAGCCCCATGTTAAAATGTCCAACTTTACAGCTGCAGTTCCTCCAGTGTCCACTAGAGTCTGTCTCCTGCAGTGAGTCAGTCCCCATAGAGCCCCATGTTAAAATTTTAAACATGTTTACATCCTGGTACAAAAACAGTTTTGGTTTTTATAGCTTGTTCCTCTATTTATGACAAATAGACAGGCTGTTTTTATTTTTTTAAGTTTTATTTCTTGCTGTTAGGTGTCACCTCAGCTGATTCAGTCTCTGAACTTTGACCTCTGGGCCGTGTTTGTGCTGTTGGAGCCTTTTGAAGATTTGTTCCTGTAAATATCAGACTAATAATCTGTCTCTCTGTGAGCTTTATTGGAATAACAGACCGTCCAACAAGTCTGAGTTCCACATTAGAACTTTATTTCATTATATGTTAGCAACAATTAGCAGCTAAATGTGTCCGTGCTCATCACACCTAGCTTGTTAATGTTTGCCCCATTTATTTGTGGCAGCCCATGCATGAGAATCAGGGTTTCTGTTGGCATGTAACATAACTTGTTTGGTTTTCTTAATGTTTTATTTGTTGTTGAGTTCCCTTGTTCCACCAAATCTTTTTTAGCTATGTGACCTCTTTGTGCAGCTGACATATATACGATATACTGAATCTTTTTGTATCCTGTAGAGAGCAAATAATTTAAATTCCTCACAAACTGTCTGCAATGTAAGCCCACCTCCGCCTCAGTGAGAGGATAAAGAAAGAGAGCAAACAAAGAGTCATAAAGACGGAGAGAGAGGGTAAACAGAAAGAGGGGGAGTCAGCTACCAGGAGAGGGACGAGTGAATCAGCAGCAGAGAAAGAGATTCAGTGATGGAGAAAGGTCAGTAATTCTACGTCATTAAAGCAAAGAGTCAGCAGAGAGAAAGCCTCCGATCATTAGCCGGGAAGCTAACTGATGATTCTGCTTTAAACTGGAAGTGTTCTTACCAACAAACCACAGAGATTAATGAGGCCTGCAGACACATCGAACAAAGCATCTCATTTAATATTTAATGCTTTTCTGACCTTCCTGCTTGTCCTCCCATGCTGGGCAAAAACAAAGCGCCCTCTCAGGAAGTTAACGGCCTTTAAATATTCATCTTAGCTGCAGGAGAATGTGCATAATTCTGTTTTTCAGAAAAAGAGCCGGGAGAAATGTGAACAAAATAAAAGTGAATTCCCTACTCTGACTGCTGCTGCACAAATTATTAATCCATTACAGTGTTTTTGTTCTCAAGAACAATCTGGAGGAATTCATTTTTGATCAGCTGGACCCAAACTCTTCAACATATCCTCCCTCTGCGTCATATTTACCATGTTTCATCAGTGAACAGTCTCATCAGAATAGAGTTTCAAGAAAATATCAATACACCTATGTATTGTGATATAATGTTTGTGGATAGTGTATCAAATTTAAATCAAGTTTGTATGTGTGTTATGGGCTGTGGTGTGTTGGTGTTGTTGTCCTGTCGTCTCTCCCCTCCCTCTCTTTTCCTTGTGTTGTTTACAACTTGGTGCTCCGCCCATCTCTGTGGAAGAGAGCAGTAATTTGGGTTCACCTGGCAATCAGGTCCTGCATGCAGCAGGAGAAATAAATGCAGCGTGACCAGTGATTGTGCAGGCTTCTTTCGGGTGCTGGACCTTCATGCTGCAGGAGAGACATTTTCTTCTTCAGTGAAAGGAGTTCAAAGTGAAATGGTTGAGAGTTTAGTTTATTTGTTTTTCTTTATTTTGTTTGTTTGTTTGTTTCTAAACTCTATGCACAATCCATACAGATAGATAAATATAAACACATTCATTCTTGTTCTTTTATGGCACTTCTAATCAGTGTTGCACTAGAAGACAATGCAATCACACATTGCACATTTTCTTTTATCCTGCAGGCCTTCTTCCAACATTACCATGTATCGGAAATAATTATAGGCCTTGTGCAATTACACAAATTAATGAATCCCTTTATTCAAGGTCCAGTTACAGTTAGGGGGCTGGGTACAGTCTACATCCTGGTGTGGGAAAACTGCTTTTACGGTTACAGTATGCTGGTAATAAAAAATACCAGAACATGTAGAAAAACATGACAAAGACTGACGATATAAAACAAGTCAAATTAAAATCTGAGATAGTTTTTCCATCCTGTGATTTCTTGTTTTTCCTCTGCTGAAGATTCATAATCTCAGCGGGGATTCAAGCTGCCAGAGGATGAATTATCTGTTAGCAGAGAAAGTGCAGCAGGGCGGAAACATCAGAAAGAGAGAGACAGATGGAAGAAGAACTGGACCTCCGCCAAACTGTCAAGGACTAAAACAAGGATCAGTCACAGTGTCAGCAAGTTCCCTCAGGACCCAGCTTCTGTTCTTCTGGCAGATAAAACACTCACTGCAGGTGGAACTAAACAAGCCAGGATCAACAGGTGTGAAGGACTGCAGTATTAAAGTACCAGAGGAACCAACAAAGTTAAAGGGGCCTGAAGAGACAACAAGAAAGAAAAGATCTGTAGGACTGAATGATGTTCTATAAGGCAAAGAGAGAGAACCAGGCATGACTGAGTGACACCATTTCTACAGGAAAGACACAAAGAGCTGAATAAGGGTGTTTTCACATTAGGCACGATAGCGCCCCCCTCCCTTCTCCCCCGCTGGTCTGCGTTCAAATTAGTAACATCGCTCCGATACAGCAGGTGGCGGTATGCACACAGTTAAATTTACAAATCCACCAAAAAGCAGAAAGAAGAAGTAACCATGGCAACCACTCGCGGGCTGAGACCATCCTGCTAACTGTGGATGCGTTTGTTATTTCTGAGATGCCAACAACGACCCCTCTTCCTGCGTCCACATCTAACAGAGTATGAAATGGGCCGCGCTGCGTGGATTCATTAGCTAATTGTTATCGGACACAATGGACAGTAATCACTGGAAAGACGCCAACCTGGGATTATAACAAAGAAACCATTGGAATTTTAGAAAAGGGGATTATTGTGGTGAAAGATGTGAGAAATGCAGAACGTACACTGAAACAGTCGTTAGCATTGATAGCATTCCTCACATGAACTCAGTCAAATACTGAGCTTCTCTTTCTCTCAGTCTGGAGACACTTAAACACAACTTTACTGCCTTGAAATGAAAATACACACCGACAGAAACACAATAAACATGAACTTGAAGTCAGTGAACTCATCACATAGTTCTGCTGTTGGTCAGAGACTTATATCGTTCCACCACCAACACCTCAAAGCTAAGCCAGTTCTGAAGAACAAATACTAAAATATTTTGGTTTTCACTTCCTAAAATTGAGGATTCCTTGTTTTGTTTTTTGTTGTTGTTTCAATATCCTTGGGTTTTTTGGTTTGGGTCGCTCAAAACAAGACTTTCTACGTCTTCAGCTTGGGGTATGGGTATTTCTTTTCACACTTGGCCGATTATTTATCTGTCAGATGAATGATAATCTATCATCAGCACGGAAAGAGGACAATCAATGAAACACATCATACTTAATAAGTTACCTAAAATAACATTTATCATGTATTGCTTTCAGATGGTATTTCCAATCATTTTTGTAACACAAATTTTAAAAATGTCTCTTAAACTATTCATGTTTTTAATTGCAATTAATCGGATTTGTATTGGCACGTTTAAATTTCCACAACTTGGATTAAATTGATTCAAAGGTGTCAAGATTCACATCTTTACTCTGTAAAATGATTTGTATTAATATGGTGAGCGTCAGAATTTTGGCTTCCCCGAGACAGAAAGTGAAAGAGGTGAGAAGATAACAGACGAGACAAAAACTGTGCAGATAATGCAAGAAGAAGAGGAACTACACAAATAACACAACCAACATGATGCAGCATTTAATAAATAACACAACGAGAAGCTCCAATCACCTCCCTTGTTGAGAGAAAAACAACATGAAAAGGCCAAAACACACTGACAAGGAATGGACTCTTTCTCAGTCATCATTTGTCTACTGTCACATTTTGTAAAATAAATTGTGAGAGAATCGTACCGTGAGTTGAGTTAGGGCTGGGTAATATATCCATATATTTCCAAAGAAGGTAAGACAACATCGTTAATACGGATATAGTTTATGTTGCATTAACATAACGTTACAGAGGTGTCAGGTGACCTTCTCATCTCACTGATGATGACTGACTGTCTGCTCCTCCTCTCTCTCTCTTTTATTGGATTTAAGGAACTTTTTTATTTTATAATATTACTTTTTAAATTCACAAACAGATAGTTTATTTTTCATGTGTTTTCACTGTTAATAAAATACATATCGATGGAGTATCTCCATTCAGATGAACAATATCGAGATATGAGTTTTGGTCCATATCGTCCCTAATCTGAGTGAATCATGACGTCACTACTATTTTGTGTATTTCTCAAGGCTTCATTCCTGTGAGTCATTTCTTCAACAAAACATCAGAGTCATTCCCTTATAACTAGGCTGTATGTGTGTATGTGTTGCCCTATTTAATATGTATATTATCTAATTGTTGTATGAGCTAACATATCATGTTGTCAGGTCTTAGCTTTAGCATCGCCCCTTTAACGCAGTGTTTTCAGTTAACCGTCATTTTCCATTAAAACCGCCGTTAGCTCTCAGTTTGAGCTGTTTCTGTTTCTGTCTCTGTTTCACCTCTATTGTAATCACACATCATGTGTGTAGTATAACGTGTATATAATCATCGTTTTATATGTTACCTGGATATGTTAAAGTGAGGAAATCAGCGCTGTGTCGTGAGAGGCTGAAACTCACCTGCCGGGTCGACGGAGCATCAGACGTCAAAACGCGGAAATGTTCGTGTCGTTGAGGTGTTTGAATGAAGGCAGCCGGGTGTCACACAGGAGATGTTTTCATTAAATCCAAGGAGAGAGAGTTTGAGGAATAAACAGCAGGCGATACAAGTCCCGTTAGAGGCGATAAAGTCCAACCGGAGCCGCGATAAGGACGAAGGAGCGGAGCAGAGTCCCGCTGCTGCTCTCCGGCCTGTGAGCACTGAACACCGCCGAACACTACGGGGTCTCCGACTCAGATATACAACCTGCACGGGTTAACTGTTCGCTGTAAATGTTATTAAAATCAAACAAAACACAAACGCTTTTCTTAGCGTAAAATCCGTCTTTGCACATGTGCAGAGGACGAGCTGCTGTGTCTGACTGCTGCACGAGCTGCTGAATCATCCACACACACACACACACACACACACACACACACGCGTACACGCGGACAGCGCTTGCGCGTTGCACAGCTGACAATGACGTCATCTTCCAACTGTAAACATAACCCTTTCTTCACCAAACTATTTCTTAATAAACACAATTTTCACGACATTGTGATGACAATGATTTGTTGTAAATAATAACTGAAACATTTATTTTAAATAAATATAAACATTTTTTTGTAAATGTATTTATTTACAGCACGTTGTCCAGTACAACATTCTTTTTAAGGTGACTGTTTGACCTCATATTTACATCAAATCATATCTCATTATTGATCCTGATGTTTTCACATATGCACTTTTATACATGTATGTGCTCTGTGGGGGGGGGGGAACTGTTGTAATATAAGATGTAATTTCTTTGTACATTTCTAAATAAAACAATTATCACAAAAAAATCATATCTCATTTATTTAGCAGGATATTTATCTCTGAAGGGATACGTTGTTATACCTACCAGAGAGTTATACCTATAACTGTCTGACCTTAAACTGGATTTTGACCTGCATGTTACTCGTCAGCTAATTCAGGAAACGCACGATTGTGATTAAACGGTTGTTTGTTTTTCTTGTCTGTTCTTACAGCATGTACAACTTTATACAAATGTTTGACCGAGATCTTTATAAAGTCATACAAACCCCCACATCCCTCCACTTTAAACTGAATCAGTCTTTGTGCTGCCATCAGAAAAAAATCATCAGTGCTGACCTGCATGCCCCCCATCCAGGCCTTTTACCGGTCCAGGGTCAGGAAACGGGCAGGTAGCATCTCTGCAGACTCCTCACACCCCGGTCACAAACTGTTCAAACTTCTCCCCTCTGGCAAGCGTTACAGATCACCGCACGCCAAAACAACCAGACGTAAGAACAGTTTGTTCCCCCAGGCTGTCACTCTGGTGAACGCTAAACAGTCACAGAGTGTCAGACCTGTCGCTGTTCAATAACCTAATCATGTAAATACTGTAATATTATCCTACTCATGCACATGAATACCTTTAATGTAAATGTATATTAACCCTCTGTTACATAATCACAATTTTTCCTATCAATCTCATCTCAGCATGTTTACACTAATCACCATTGCACTATTGTCTTATATTATTCTTTGCTTATTTATGTTTATATTTAATGTTATACTTTTGTACACTGAGAGAAAAGTTCACCAAAGACAAATTGTGTGTGTAAGCATACATGGCCAGTAAAGCTGATTCTGATTCTTCTGATGTTCTGCTGCTGCTGTACTGTGAGCATTTGTCCACCAGAGGGCAGAATTTACTTCTTTTTTTTTTTTTTACTCTCCAGACTCCCAGATTGTTTTCTGATCATTTTGTAATCCTAGAATTCTCTAAAGCTCACACTCAGAATGTCTAATAAACCTCCTTGAGAACAGAAAAAGATATTTGAAGCTTTGACTAAAACAAAACTAGATCTCAGATGTAAACAACAAATACATTATGACAGTTACATAAAAACACTTTTATTCTGTACATGATATCTGGCTATCCCACATTGAATAATTCAGACACAAAGGCTGAAAAATCAATCAGATGATCTAAGATGTCACTTCACCAACATCCCAGCAGCAACGATAACATGAACGACCCTCAGACAACAACCAGTACCAACATCTCATCCACTCATGGGTGCAATGCTAACAGGCAGGCAGGCCACTGCTTGGGGCCCCAGACCAGTAGGGGGTCCCCGAGGGCCCACAAAACCTAAAAAGCAGCAATATGTAAACTTTTTCCTAGACAGTAGGAAATCTCTCTCAGAGGGAGGCGGGCCCCGTCTGACAGCACTCTCTCTTGTTGCACTGCTAAGCGTCCCCTCGTCAATTAAAGTCAACAAAGAAAAAAGGTGAGAAAAAAGACACAAGAAAAAAGAGTAAGTGTGGGGACACTGTCATGCTGGTTGGAGGGCCCCCCCCCCCCCCCAAGTTATTTTTGCCTTGCACCCCAACAGACTCTATTGAGCCTTAATGTGCAATACTCCATGCAATATCAACACTGCACATGTATATTTGTAAACTGTTCCTATATTAAATTCCCTGTGCTTGCACATGCTTTAATATGTCTTCAGATACTCTGCTACTTAGGCTTATTCTACTTGTATTTTCTATAGTCCCTACTTCTATATTGTGTTTAAGAGCTGCTGTAACGACCTCATTAATAAAGTATTTCTTATTTCTGAATCTGATGATGTATTGATCTCACAAAGTCATGCTATAAATAACTTCAATAGCATATAGAGTCCACGTCACTGCATGCATTCATTCATTCATTCATTCATACATCAAATCAAAATGAGCTGGACTTATACTCATCATATTTGTATCCTAATTTTTAAGTGTTACCATTTTATTTTCCATCTTCGTGGATGCCTCCGGAGAATAATCAGATCAGGTGAAAATGATATCGATGTGTTGAAGCGCTCTTCATGTGAGGCTGAATACGTTAACGGAAGGAGAGGGAGATATAGGTGTTGAGGGTCAGTCGCTCTGCGCGCTCAGCAGCGGACAAACTGGTCCGAGTGAGCGCGTCTCCTGCTCTCTTCGTTGGGGTTCCTTCTTGGGACTTAGTCGGAGAAGGCCTATTCCTTTTCGTCTGCATGTTGGGAACGGAAGCAGAGAGTTTGGAGTTTGACAGAGGAGTGGAGAGACAGTCTCATGAGGAGAAGTTGAGACAGATGTGGCACCGAGCTATCCATGGAGAGATTTCTTAACGAGAGCCAAAACCAGGATCAGCAGGCGCAGCAGGGCCAGCACAGGGTGGTCACAACGGGAGCGGACAGCACCGGGCCGGGTGGGGGTCTCAGCCTCCGCGCTCTGACCGGCTGCGTCCTGTGCGTCCTGATCGTCTCCACCCTGCTGGGGAACACTCTGGTGTGCGCCGCGGTCATTAAGTTCCGCCACTTGCGCTCCAAAGTCACCAACTCGTTCGTCATCTCTCTGGCGGTGTCGGACCTGTTCGTGGCCGTGCTCGTGATGCCCTGGAGGGCGGTGTCCGAGGTTGCAGGGTTCTGGTTGTTCGGTCGCTTTTGTGACACCTGGGTGGCCTTCGACATCATGTGCTCCACCGCCTCGATCTTGAACCTGTGCATCATCAGCATGGACCGCTACTGGGCAATCTCCAGCCCCTTCAAGTACGAGCGCAAGATGACGCGCAGGTTCGCCTTCCTCATGATCGGCGTGGCGTGGACTCTCTCCATCCTCATCTCATTCATCCCGGTGCAGCTCAACTGGCACCGCGCGTACTCGGACAACTCGACCGCGGAGAACCCGGAAGACTGCAACGCAAGCCTGAACCGGACTTACGCCATCTCTTCGTCCCTCATCAGCTTCTACATCCCGGTGGTGATCATGGTGGGCACGTACACGCGCATTTTCCGCATCGCGCAAACCCAAATCAGACGCATCTCATCTTTGGAGAGGGCTGCAGGGCAGCGTGCGCAAAACCGCCACCACCGCGTGTCAACGCACGACGAAAGCTCGCTGAAAACGTCTTTTAAGAGAGAAACTAAAGTTTTAAAAACTCTGTCCATCATCATGGGGGTCTTCGTGTTCTGCTGGCTGCCTTTCTTCGTCCTGAACTGCGTCGTGCCTTTCTGTGAGCTGGACAAAGTGGGAGAGCCGCCCTGCGTCAGCGACACAACCTTCAGCATCTTCGTGTGGTTCGGCTGGGCGAACTCGTCCCTGAACCCGGTCATCTACGCCTTCAACGCGGACTTCAGGAAGGCCTTCTCCACCATCCTGGGCTGCAACAAATACTGCTCCAGCTCCGCGGTGGAGGCGGTGGACTTCAGCAACGAGCTGGTGTCTTATCACCATGACACCACCATGCAGAAGGAGGCCTGCGCCATGCAAGGCCATGCTGGGTCACAGAGACTCATCCCCCCACCTCCTCCGCCGCAGCACACCGGAGGAGACCTGGAGCAGGACTTTGACAAAGTTTCTGGTATTTCAGAAGATTCCAGAAACCACAGCAACCTCCTGCTGCCCGCCATGCTGCAGTATGAGTGCGAGGCTGAGATTTCTCTGGACATGATGCCCTTCAACTCGTCCGGACCAACAGACTGTTACGTTATACCGGGTCAGATCCAGGACCTGTGAGCATGAGTAGTGCGGGATCTGTTCAGTTTTGTGCCTCCTAATTCATCCTGGGCCAACTTTTACATCATGCACCACACAGCTCTGACCTCCTGTTGGTGACGCCTTAAAGGAAAAGGGACATGACAAGAGCAAAAGTATGTAGGAGTCAGGGGAGACACGATGATACAATGGACAGCATAGACAGAGACAAAACAGGCAAGCAGGGAGTAATAATACCATTTTGCAATTTTGTATGTTGAGGGTGTTGAAGGGCCATGCTTGTGTGTGTGTGTGTGTAACTCGAGTGTATGCTTGTATTTTTTTTTTTTCTCTTCCTTTTTGCATTTGCATTGTTGAAAGAAATTGAAAAACATTTTGGAGATAATAAAACTTTCCTTTGGATTTGTAAAAGCGTCTTCGGATCTTGCAGAAATGTTGAGTTGTTTTGTCGTGTTTGAGCAAAAATTTCTCTAGACTCTCGAAAAGGTTCTTCAGATCATGCAAATGTTTCTCGAAATTGTGCAAAGTTTTGAAAGAACTCAAAACTTTCTCAGGATCTTCTGAAAGATTTTTGAGCTCTGGCAAAACTTTTATTGGGATTTGCAAAAAGATCAAGCTTTTTGTTCTCTCTGTGATACACACATTTCATACCATCACTCAGAGCTCCACTATTGTTAAAAACTATTTAAAAATGTCTATTTACACAATAACTATGTTGAACTTATAAATATTGATTTTACTTGATGTATTTGCCAGAAAGTGACACAATTGGTTGAAAAACATTTTTGCTCAGCTGTGTTTGATTAAAAAACTCTAAAATGTTGCCCCTGACTTGTTCTTTCTGATCATTAATTATTCATGTAAATAATTAACAGATCAATGTTCAGTCGCAGTGAGAGGCTGTTGTTTGAGTAACAGATGGGCCCACCGAGAGACTTTTTGAACCGAATGTGTCTGATGTCTGAGTCCAACCTTTGTTATGATAAAGGAGGATGATATGAAGAGCAGGGGTAATTAAAACCAATCAAACCATTAGCTCCAGTGTTTAATTATCCCTTCAGATAATTGCAGGATGATTTTGAGACATTGAGCTCAAAAAGAGACAAGATGTTTTAAGTGTTCATTTGGATTGAGTTGTTTTGAAGAGGTCCAACATTGGGGGGGTGTTGCATGTTTCTGAAAATACTGTAATGGAGTGCCTCGGTGTGGCTGCAGCTGTTATAGCCGAAGAGCAACAAGAGAGCTTTCAGACTCAAGATTATTGGACATAACTGACTCATTTGTTTTTTTCATCCAGTCGGCTTTGTGAATCCATAAAATTACATCTGCTTCTTTTGTGGAGTTCCACAAGGCTCCATATTAGGCCCAATTTTCTTTAATTTGAAGAAATATAATATACTGATGACACCCAGCTGTACCCTCACTTTAAACCTCTACCTCCCATCTAAAGTGCTTTGAGGATGTAAAATCATGTTTGGTACAAAGCCTGTCAGCTTAAGAAAAATAAAACTGAGGTTGTAATTCTTTTAGCGCTGCAGACAACTTTCCAACATCAATCTCAGCTTCTCAGTCTTTTGTTACTATTCTTCCCTTCAAGTCTACAGTTTTTCAACATGAAGATGTGAGAGTCTGTGGAGGTCGCACAGTCAGGGGAGTAAAGGATGAACCTTTTTTCAAAGGAGTATGATACGATACGTGAAAGGGGTCGTTACATGGACGGGGCTGTTGTATCAGAGGCCAGGACTGCTGGTTGCATTTTAGTGTGTTGCAGGTGGAACACTGATTCTGACTGCATCTGGATGGAAAGGTCAGAGCTGGTTAAGATTCAGCTTCCTGCCAGGCACAGAAAGGGATGAAAGTCATGCAAAATGTTGAAATTGCATCTTTAGTGGATAAAGTAAGTTTCGCAATCTCACAGCATGTTTCTGTAACGTCGTTTGAGTATCTGTAATGTCCCTCCAGTTAGTCAAAGTTTATACCCATAATCCTTTGTGATTCATGAGCTCGGAAACTTACACTGCATCAGTATTCAGACGAAGTCTTTTCAGGAGATTCCTTAATTAAATGAACAACCAGAAGCAGACAGGTTTTCAAACAAGGCATCAGCAGTGTTTTCTGTTCCTCAGGAGGAACATGAGCTTAAACAGGTCTTGAGTAAACTGAACTTAAGATAATTTTAGCCCTTTTCTTTTCACTGTGAGACCCGCAATACTCTTTTGTTCAAAGGATGCATTTTACATTTCTATTTTTAGTAACGAAAAACACATCATAGGTTTGGTTTGTTTGGAATCATACCCATCTGTTGTTGTTTGCTGCTGAAGAGTTCACTGGATGAGGAAAGTCTGAAGTCTACTCCAATTGAATGACATCTGATTGGAATCACTGGTCCTGCATGACCACCACCTTGTAGTGCACATCCAAGTTTTTACAGGCATCATGTCTCAGTTTCATTTGTTGTTACTGGAGTCAAAAGTTGGTTATTGTACCAAAATAACTGATCATGACATCCTACTCTCACAACCATCTTTGGGTGCCAAGCGTAACAAGCTGACCCTAAAGACTGGACCTTTTACAGATTCTGAGAAGGTTAGCACAAACAAGAAGTCTTTAAGAAAAGCAACAAGTTAATGGTTAGACTTTTATTGATGCTTTTCAAAGTTCCATAAATGCCAAGATCACAAAGTCAACCTGTGCAAAACAGAAAGTAAAGTCAGTTATGATAAAACCAAACCATAAAGGGAAACGTTAAAATCGTTTTTAATTCACCTCATCAGAATTTCTGTCATCCGTTAACCTTGGCCACAGGCGCAGAGTGCTGGGGCGTCTGAACGACCTCATAGTTAGTCACTTGTGGTTCAGGGTACTCAGGGACGTATTTCATGTGGGAGAGGTCTGCTCTGGCTTGCCAGTAGCCGTTTCTGGACTGCATGATGTAGGATGATGGCGGCAAAGGGCGAGTTTCCCGGCTCTTGCTCTGCTGCGTCACACCGTCGGCATCCTCTGAGCCCCAGACGCCAAAGTCTGGGAAAGAACGAGACGGCATCCAGCTGCTGGGGTCGAACGAGGCCTGGAATCCTCCTGCAGGCTGCTGAGGCCAGGATGGGTAGCCTTCATTAGCAGGATCATAGATGGGGCTGTACGCTGCCAAGGGTACACCCACTTCGGAGTTTCCAGCTGTGCCACCGTGAGGCTGAGACTGCCCAGGAGGACTGACGTAGACCACACTCTGAGGAGGAACTTCAGGAGCTCCAGGATTGGAGGGGGACTGGTTTCCAGTTGTAGTGTAGCCTGTTGGGGGGCCACTCCGGGCTTGCAGGATGACAGACGGTTTACGCTGCAGGAACGGCAGAGGAGGACGAGCGCCTCCAGCCGGAGCGTGTACGCCTGATCGAGGAGAAGCTTGTCCACCAGATCCAAAAGGAACAGAGTACGGGTATCTGTAGTCTGGAGCAGATTAAAGGGTTAAATTAGGAGAAAAATCTGACAAGAATCCAAAACATGCACCAACCATGAGTTCATAGTCTTTAATTTAGACAACAGATAATGTTAGAGGACATGTTGAAATTAAAACTGACGTTTGAGCTTCTTTAAACCAGAACACTGAAAGTCTAATGTTTGTGAACTCTTTCAGGGTTTAATTTCAGACCAAACTCTCAGAGGGAAACCTTCTGCATCCAGTCCATACTGCAACCTGAAGTTCAGAGTTCCAAGAGCTTTAATTACTCCATAGTGCAGGTGAGAACAGAGATTAAAGCTCAACACTGACTCAAACCAGAAACTGTTAATCCTCAAATGAGAGTAGCCAGTTGTGCTTAAACACTGAAGATCATCTCAGCACTTCATGGACAGGAAACTAACACCAGAGATTAAGAAGCTTTTTTTGTTTTACCCTAAATATTAAGGCTGCAGGAGAGTTTAAGGCAGAGTATAACTTAATGACAATAAATTAAAAATCACCTTCTCAGAATGAGTGTGACAGCTGTTCATTTGTTTTCCTGCAGTTTGGACTAAAGTCCTGATCAGGGTTTGCTCCAAGTGAAGAGTCAAACTCACCTTCTTTATTTGCAGGAAAACAAGCTCCACTGCTGAATAACAGCAGACACATCCAAGAAACCCTGAGAGAGAAACAAGAGAACTCAAAGTCACAGCTTCTACAAGGTGAAACTAAGCAGATTAAGATGTTACTGTGAGTGAAAACATGGATCCTACCTCAGAATGAGTGCATGCAGCATGTTGACTCAGCAGTTTGATGAGCAGCAGCTTCTCCTCTACAGCCTGCTGCAGGTTTAGAGACTGAAGCTTTGTGTGGTGAGCTGCATGTTTCTCCTCTGCTCTTATACTGCTGCTCCACTCTCTGATCTGATTCTACTCATTACCGACACCTGGACAACAATCAGAGCCTGCTGACAACACGCTCTCTCTGACAACTCCATGAACAAAAAAAATGAGGAGAAGAGTTGACTTGAGTCGTCTCCTCCACCTGTGGGCTCAGGTGTGTCGTCAGCAGGCTCTGATTGTTGTCCAGGTGTCGGTAATGAGTAGAATCAGATCAGAGAGTGGAGCAGCAGTATAAGAACAGAGGAGAAAGATGTAGCTCATCACACAAAGCTTCAGTCTCTAAACCGCCAGCTGACTGCAGAGGAGAAGCTGCTGCGCGTCTCAAACTGCTGCGCGTCAATCATGCTGTGCACACTTGTTCTGAGGTAGGATACATGTTTTCATTCACAGTAACATCTTAATCTGCTCAGTTTCACCTTCTAGAAGATGTGATTTTGAGGTCTCTTGTTGTTCTGTCAGGGTTTTTTGGATGTGTCTGCTGTTATTCCATAGTGGAGCTTGTTTTCCTGCAAATAAAGAAGGTGAGTTTGACTCTTTACTTTGCGCAAACCCTGATCAGGACTTTAGTCGAAACTGCAGGAAAATAAATGAACAGCTGTCAGACTCAAACTGAGACTTTTCACTGAGAAAGAGACAACTGTTATTATCTTAAGTTATACTCTGCCTTAAGCTCTCCTGCAGCGGTAATATTTAGGGTAAAACAAAAAAAGCTTCTTAATCTTTGGTTTTAGTTTTCTGTCCATAAAGTGCTGAGATGATCGTCAGTGTTAAGCACAACTGCTACTCTCGTTTGAGGACTAATTTAATCAGTTTCTGGTTTGCGTCGGTGTTAAAAACAGTGTTGAGCTTTAATCTCTGTTCTCACCTGCACTATGGAGTAATTAAAGCTCCTGAGAACTCTAAACTTCAGGTTGCAGTATGGACTGGATGCAGAAGGTTTCCTTCTCTCAGAGTTTGGTCTGAAATTAAACCCTGAAAAAGAGTTCACAAAAACATTGAACTTTCAGTGTTCCGGTTTAAAGAAGCTCAAACTTCAGTTTTAATTTCAACATGTCCTCTGCTCTTGGTCTGTGGAACGCTCTCCCCGAGCAGCTGAGGGCTCCACAGTCTGCTGATGCTTTTAAAAGGGCCCTAAAAACCCAACTTTTATAACAACGCCTTCTGCTTGTGCTTTTAGTTTTGTTAGCTGATTAAATTTGTTTTCATTTCTATTTTTCTTCCTGTAGAACTTTCAGATTGTGTTCCAAAAACGTAAAGTGCGTTACAAATTAAGTGTATTATTTGTAATGTAAATTAAAGATTATGAACTCATGGTTGGTGCATGTTTTGGGTTCTTGACAGATTTTTCTCCTAATTTAACCCTTTAATCTGCTCCAGACTACAGATACCCGTACTCTGTTCCTTTTGGATCTGGTGGACAAGCTTCTCCTCGATCAGGCGTACACGCTCGGGCTGGAGGCGCTCGTCCTCCTCTGCCGTTCCTGCAGCGTAAACCGTCTGTTGTCCTGCAAGCCAGGAGTGGCCCCCCAACAGGCTACAATCCAACTGGAAACCAGTCCCCCTCCAATCCTGGAGCTCCTGAAGTCCCTCCTCAGAGTGTGGTCTACGTCAGTCCTCCTGGGCAGTCTCAGCCTCACGGTGGCACAGCTGGAAACTCCGAAGTGGGTGTACCCTTGGCAGCGTACCGCCCCATCTATGATCCTGCTAATGAAGGCTACCCGTCCTGGCCTCAGCAGCCTGCAGGAGGATTCCAGGCCTCGTTCGACCCCAGCAGCTGGATGCCGTCTCGTTCTTTCCCAGACTTTGGCGTCTGGAGCTCAGAGGACGCCGACGGTGTGACGCAGCAGAGCAACAGCCGAGAAACTGCCCGTTTGCCGCCCCCTTTGCCGCCGTCATCCTACATCATCCAGTCCAGAAACGGCTACTGGCGAGCCACAGAAGACCTCTCCCACATGAAATACGTCCCTGAGTACCCTGAACCACAAGTGACTAACTATGAGGTTGTCGAGACGCCCCAGCACTCTGCGCCTGTGGCGAAAGGTAAAGTGTAACCTGACAGAGCTTAATTATTTTTACCAGTGAATTGAATTTAACTTTCCCCTTTTTTATTTTTTTTATTTTGCAGGGTGAACTTGGTGACTCTCAGCATGTCTACAACATTTACCTGTGGAGTGTTTGGGAAAGTCAATAAAAATGTTAATTGGAAAACTGACTTATGTCTAAACTTAATGTATAATATTTGTAAGAAAAGGTGCAGAGGTTGTTTAGAAATCTGAATCTTTCAAGGAAGATCTTTGATGATTCAAATGTCACTGTCGGCTAGGAAGTGGCTGAATGCTAATGCTAGCTGGGGTTTAACATAAAGTGGTGTGTTTACAATGGTAAGAATTGGGTCTGAAAAGGTAAATTATCTCAATAATAAAGATCTGATTGGCTTGCAGAAAACTAATCAGAGTGGTAGGTGACCTGGGTTCACTGCAGGTCTGCGTCTGGTGTGCAGGGTCTGGCATCTGGACTCTCCTGATGATGTGACCTTAACCTCTCACGAGAGCAGCATGAGTTGAAGCCTGCGACTTTTCTACGATTGTATAAAAGTCTGGGTGGCATGCCGTATGTGGTCACACTGTGGCGTGAAATTGGTACTTACTGTTGACAATTGTTAGTTTTATTTGAGCACTCCAATGGATGACTGTTTCTTAAAGCAGGAGGTATTGTCGGATATAGAAAAGTTAAAGCAATCGTGCCCAAACCTCAGAAGACGAACAAATGCCGGGTTGCATCCCCTCGCTGGTTGCCGTGACTACAGCCCTCAATTGTCTCTTGTGATTATACTGTAGTCATCCACGAAGCATTTCTCAAGATTTTGGCTCCTAAATATTCAACATGTTTGAAATAAATCGGTGCGTCCCTGATGATCGGCTGTTGAGTTTGGCACTTTATGCCACTCGCACTTCAAGATAATCGGTTCCGAGCAGCCTCGCGTCTGGTGCAACCCTGAGATTGTGTGGAAGGAGATATCGGTGCTCAAATCGCCCGTTGTATCTAAAGTGTGAGCCAGGCTTTGGATGTTTTCCCATTTAGCTCAATAGGAGAAAATGACACAACCCTGAAGTGATTGAAACTTCCTGATCTCAAATGAAGTCATGCTGAATTTAATCAGAAGACAAACTTTCCAAGTTGGCCTTAAAGTGATTAAATCCAACAACTACATCTTGCTTATCTTTGAACTTGAAGGGAAAGCAGTCTGACAAACCATTACATTTTCTGTCTCATTCCTTTCACTCATCCATTCTGGCAGGAAAAGGCATCAGATTGAAAGCTGTGATAATGCGTCATGGTCCAGGGAAGAGCAGCCAGCAGCTCTTCTACAGTGCTCCTCTTCATCGCTTGAGTCCGCATGTAATTTCACACACTCATAGCACCGTTGATTGCACGAGTGGACATCTAATCATGCTGGATTTTTGAAGTGCCACTTCTGTCCAGATATCAGTTTCAGGAGATGACATTATTTGTCTGAGCACAAGCAGAGCAATCATCAGCAGTCCTCCTCTTTAATGTCAGAAATGGAAGCATTTAGGTGTTACCCATCAAGAGACACATATCTCTTGCATAACTTTTATAAATGTTGCATCTCTGCAATCCAAAAAGATGCTCGTTCAACAAGAAAAATGTCCTCTTGATTTCCTGTAAATTTGTGTAATCACAACGACCTCCGCTCCCGTAGATGTCGCTGTTCGTCTAGGAGGCCGGCTCCTCGAGCGTGAAGCGCCGCAAGCAAGAAAAAGAGCAGCGGTGGTGTAAATGAAATAAACAAGATGTCATTTTTTTATTTATCCGCATCGTTTACTCTGAATTTTTTTTTTTTTTAATAATTTAACAATTATAATTCATATAATAATAATAATTTTAATAATTCATATAAAAATAATAATTGAATAATAATAATAATGTATCCTTTATTAATCCTGCGAGGGGAAATTCAATTTATTATCTAGAGCTATCTATAAATATCTAGAGCTCTGCAAAAATGTGCAAGACCTCATTTTATTTCAGATAAACACCTTTGTATAAGATGTGTTGTTGATCAATTCAGGTCCATATCTTGACTTGAATGCTAAAAGAGTAACCCTGTGTCACACTAGAAAGCTACAGCTCTGACATGTTAACTAGTCAAGTCTTAAATATCTACTTGTCCTCCTTGCCTAGACTCTCTCATCCAGGTCTAAACTTCGACCCGCCCACTACGCTCTGCCGATGAAAGGCGTCTGATCCGACTTTCACAGGTTAGTGGCAACTCGTTATGTTGACTAGTTCGCTTGTAAGAGCTAAAACGTCCACGATTTACTCTTATGATGGTTTTATGAACTGTACACGTGTACTAGTGAGGCTCAAACGGTTTTATTAGTTAATTAGTAAAAACCAAAATGTCACCAATAACGCTAACATTGCACAAAATTAAAATGATGAGGCGGTGAGTAAGAGAAGATTGAGGCTTTCCATTGGTTTCAAGTTCAAAATAAGAACTTACCTTGATCCGGATTCAGGATGTTGTTATTACCCGCCTCCTTCAGGTACATGTTGCACAATAGTTAACTTGTTTTTTGATTATCTTGTACGAGTGCTCTCAAAGACCAAACTAGTGCAGGAAAATAACTTTTGAGATCAAAGGTATTGAATAAATGCTCTAAGGGCCTCCAATAGGAGAATGCATAGTGCAGACATGGCAACAACATACAGGCTGTCCTGCCCAACTCTGCAGGGGCCCCAGCAGAGGGCACTCATGTTACACATACAGTACCAGTACAAGTGGAAACTCTGTAATATTATTCAAATAGAAAAATGAGGACAATTGATGACCTTATGCTTCTCCTGTTTGCTGCAGATAATCATTGTGATGCTGTTAAAAACACCCGAGGTCCTGAGACAACAAACATTCAGGAATCACCAACAAAATATACTGATTAGTTTAAATGAGTGTGTGTGTGTGTGTGTGTGTGTGTGTGTGTGTGTGTGTGTGTGTGTGTGTGTGTGTGTGTGTGTGTGTGTGTGTGTGTGTGTGTGTGTGTGTGTGTGTGTGTGTGTGTGTGTGTGTGTGTGTGTGTGTGTGTGTGTGTGTGTGTGTGTGTGTGTGTGTGTGTGTGTGTGTGTGTGTGTGTGTGTGTGTGTGTGTGTGTGTGTGTGTGTGTGTGTGTGTGTGTGTGTGTAGCCCACAGTCAGAGTCCAGTTAACGCTGTCGGGTCATTTCCACTAAAATAGAGACTAAATGCTAAATGTTGGCCAAATAAAAACAGTGCTGCGGCCAAATGAAGTCTACTAATCAGAATTAAGTGTATGTGGTTGTGCGCTATCCCCTCCTCACCCTGTAGGAGGCAGCATTGTGCAGAGAAACAAGTCCTCCTCTGTCCTGAACTATGATAATGAGTAATAAATTAGGCTTTAAATCAATCACAAACTACATCAGTATGAACTTCTTCAAACAGTTTATTTAATATAACCAATGACAAGAACACAAATAAAGTAGAGATGTGAATCCTTCAGAGGGTTAACTTGTGGAACAGCTGTGACAGAGAATTAAAAATGTACTTCATGTTCTTGTTTAAGCATCAGGTGACACAAAAACGAACAAACAAATACAAAGATCACGTTTCAGCTGACACCTTTCCATCACTTTATGTATGTATATACTGTATATGTACTTTTTAAAATTAACTACACATTAAGTAAAATCAATCAATCAATTTTTATTTGTATAGCGTCAACTCATAACAAGTGTTATCTCGAGACACTTTACAAAAAGCAGGTACAATACCTTACTCTTTGTCTGTTAACATTACAAAAGAGCAGGTAAAAGACCTTACTCATTGTTATGTGACAAAGACCCGGCCTGTCCATCATGAGCACTTTAGCAAAGCAGCAAAAGTTACAGTGGTAAGAAAAAACTGTCTTATTAAAAGGCAGAAATCTTCAGCCGGATCCCCGGCTCATGACCAAACAGCCTTCACTGGTCTAGACTGCGCTGGGCTTGGAAAGGGATAGAGGGAGAGATGGGATAAGATGCAGAAAGAGGGATAGGGAGCAAGGGGGTGGGGGGAGGCAAGCCGTCCACTTCCCCATGTTCCTCTAACTCTAACATGTGTCTCTAGTCCATCTACAAACCCCCCAATGATGAGAAAAGTCCATCCTCTCTGTCTTCTGCCTGCTCCACTTTTCAGAAAATGTGTGCTCAAACAGGCCGTTTGGAGATTTTCCCTTCATGACATCACAAAGGGCAGTAGCCCCTCAACCAGGTGGGTGACACTCCCACAGCTAGGTGTTTGTTCTGCCCTCTGAGTCTGCCTTCTCACCGTAAACAATAGGACATGGAGCGAGAAAGACTGAGTACACCCGAGCCCTTCCAGAGAGGGGGCGTGGTCAGACACACCTCATTTACATATTTAAAGGTACAGACACAGAAACAGCCTGTTCTGAGCAGGGCTGAAATAGAGGGGTTTATAGACATGATCAGAGTGGACAATGGCTATTTGTTAAGACAGCTGCGTACGGGAGGAATGAGAAGAGTTTGCCTTCAGTTTTTTATGATTAAAGGAAGAATGTTTGACGTGTTACAGATAAATATATCATAAATCCAGTCTGTCCTGTGTAAATGTGTCTCTGAGTCATGACTGTCTACAATGAGGGAGAAGCTCGAGTCCCGCTGGCTGTGTTGTTGTCAGAACCGTGTTTACATGGACAGGACGGCTGTGCAAACAGTAAAATGAGGATTCCAAGTAACCAATATTTCTATATCGTTAGATTCTTTCATCTTAAGGGAAGCTTAAGTACTCTTTCTTAAACAGTTTAAACAAAAACTTTAAACTCGATGAAAATACAACAAAAGTTCAACAGGAACAATCTTTCATGAACAGTTTTTTACGAGGCTTCGCTCCCTCTGTCGGATCACATGGATTTCAGTTCCTGCTGCGTGGTCACCTGACTTTCTGTTGAGGAAGTAGTGATCTTCCCATCTCCGTCGTTGGCTGTGCAGCGCAGTGCGCGGGGCAGCGAGCTGATGAGGGCCTTCCTGAACATGGAGCTGGAGAAGACGTAGACGATGGGGTCCAGGGCTGAGTTGAGGAAGTTGAGACCCAGGGACACGATGTTGAGCTGGGTGAAGGTGTAGAAGGAGGCACAGTCCCACGGGCGGGACGAGCGAATTACCCACATCCCGATGGTGGTCACTGTTGTTGGTAAGAAACACACCACGAACACCGCCACGATGATGGTGCACACTCTCATCGCCTTCCGCACCTTGTCCGGTTTTCCAATCTGTCGCGCACGAAGAAATCTGGAGATACTGACAGAGCAGAAGATCAGCATGGCAAGCGGGACGATGAACTCCAGCACCGTCAGGATCCGGTGCATGGCGACTAGGATGGTGATGGCCCGTGAAGCCTCTTTGTATGAGGTGAAGAAGAAGCACTGCGTGGTGTTGTCGGCGAACTTGATGTGGTTGTAAGCCAGCATGGGAACCCGAGGACTGATGACCAGCAGCCACACAAACAGGGACACAAACCCAGCCTGACGCTTGGTCATGCGGTTGAAGCGGTGGTGAGGATGGACCACCTGGAGGACGATAGAGATTTATACACTGAGTGATTAACAACAAATGAGACATAACGGTTTCATAGTAGCTTTTTAACTGTCACTGCATATTAGAGACCTATATGGTATTATAAGTTTACTGATCCTGAGGGCCGAAAAATAAACACATGTCAGTATTTTCCAGATTTATCAGCATAAGTCTTTTTAACAACATAAAGATAACTCCGTTCCTCACCTTAAAGTAGCGGTAAATCGCTACCACGGTCATGAGCGCGATGCTGGCCGAGCGGTTTGAAAACATCAGGAAGAGGTTGATCCGGCACATGCCGTCCCCGAACACCCAGTGGCGCTTTAGCAAGGCGTCGATCCTCAGTGGCAGACTCAGCAGAGCCAGGAAGTCTGCGATGACCAGGTTAAAGAGGAACAGGGTGTTTGGGTTCCACGACTTTAGTTTGAAGCAGAAGATCCACAGGGCGACTACGTTTCCCAGCATCCCCAGTATGACGTCGATGGTGAGGATTGGGGGCAGAATCAAACCCTCCAGTTGGATACCGACAGGTGGGCAGCCCCCGCCTCTACCTCCACCCCCACCACCCCCATGGGCCGGGGTCGTCCAGTTTGACATTTTCATGTTTTCACTCTGCTCCGGCAGCATTTCAGAAGTTTAAATCAATCACAGAGGTGGAAAGAAGTTAAAATTTATGTTGTTGTTCGGTGGTTAATTAAAGGGAAGTAAAATCACCAGGAAGTGTTCTGAGATTTTGAAAGTTTCCCTGTTCCCCTTTTTGTGAACGTCTTCCTTATTTCTGCAGAAGAAAATATGTGAAAAGAAAAGAAAAACAGATTGTTATTAATCAGCTTCACTTCTCAAAATAACCCAAAATAAACAATTAAGATGTATTTTTAACTAAATGAAATCCATTCAGCTGTCCAATATTTAAATGCATACATATGATGTTGCAATGGTGGATGTCCTTATTAAATCTCTGCCAAGTTTCTTTAAATACAACATACACGCACAGTTGGAGGCTCACTCAAATGTCCCTGAGACTGCAAACCCAGCCGGCCAATCAGAGGAGAGTGGGCACGAGGGGAGGCGGGGCCTTAAAGAGACAGCAGCTGAAATTAAGCGTTTCAGGCAGAGGCTGAAATGAGGGATTTTATTGACGCCAGTTTCAAATAAATAAGAAGGGTTTTGAGCTACACCTCTCACAACGCTACTCAACAGGTGTCCCAGACTGACATCATTCATGGTGAGAGTGAGATAACAGATCTCCTTTAAAAAATAAAAATGAACTAAATTGATGCCAAAAACAAAGGTTTGTAAAAATTAAACTTAAAGACGTCAGAACTTTAAATACTTTTAAAACGACATGACCTCTGTTATGATGGACGGTATTGATAGGTACAGAAACTTAATAAAAACGACATCTTTTACTAAAGACAGTCTAAATTGCACAGATATGTTGTCAATGTATTTGTGCAATATAGACGGTGTGTGGGAGTTTGCCTGCCTGGTTCAATAATTAAAAACACAAAGATTCCCAATATCTGGTGCCTATTGGACTTGTTTTTTCATTTTCATGGTTTATATAAAGCTGTCAATTAGTGTTGTAGTCAAGACCACACTAACTGAGACCAAGACATACCTGAGACCAGAGGGCTCCGAGACAGAGACCATAAAAATATCAATTAAAGTCATTATCTTGGGTGCAGTCACTCACTTAGCCCATAACACTGAGAAGGTTGCGGCTGTAACCGGGGGATAAAAATCTAATTCTGGATGAATTTAAGTTTTTTGTTCTTTTAAAAAAAGTCTATTCCTTCTAATCACAGTAATGACGTTAAAAAATAGCCGATCAGTAGTGGTCTTAATTTAAAATCTGGAGTCCGCCCAGTCTGAGACCGAGACAAGACCGGGTAAAAATGCTTTTGGTTCCGAGACGAGACTGAGACCTCTAGAAAGTGGTCTTGAGACCCGGTCTTGAGACCCAGTCTTGAGACTGCGACCTTTCATGTGTCATTGAAGCCGTTGTCGTTGCACACAGAAATATTAGAGTCCAATAAAATATGTTTGCACACTAATCACTGTATGTATTGAAAACTAAAACTCACCTGTCAGACGAATGAAAGGAAGTCACATCTGAAATGTTGCAGGAAGGAACGGAGAGATTTCCAATGCGTCTGTATTTAAGTCATCTTCCTCTGTGTCCGAGGATGTTTCTGTGTGGGGTAACTCTCATAAACCAAACACGTCACACTGTTACCACATCAGAACTGGTTCTCAAAAAAAGGGATGTGTGCCCGGACATCAAGCTAGTTTCTTTGTTTTTTGTAAAGATTTATTTTTGGGCTTTTTGTGACTTGGAGGACTTGATGGAGAGACAGGACAGTGGATAGAGTCTGAAACCAGAGAGAGAGAGGACAGTGGATAGAGTCTGAAATCAGAGAGAGAGAGGACAGTGGATAGAGTCAGAAACCAGAGAGAGAGAGGACAGTGGATAGAGTCAGAGACCAGAGAGAGAGAGAGGACAGTGGATAGAGTCTGAAACCAGAGAGAGAGAGAGGACAGTGGATAGAGTCTGAAACCAGAGAGAGAGAGAGGACAGTGGATAGAGTCAGAAACCAGAGAGAGAGAGGACAGTGGATAGAGTCAGAAACCAGAGAGAGAGAGAGGACAGTGGATAGAGTCTGAAACCAGAGAGAGAGAGAGGACAGTGGATAGAGTCAGAAACCAGAGAGAGAGAGTGGTGAATGACATGCAGGAAAGAGGCCACAGGTGGGATATGAACCTGGGCCGCCTGCTTGAGACGACAGCCTCCGTACACAGGGCGCGCACACTAACCACTGTGCCACCAGCGCCCCATTAAGCTAGTTTCTTAAGAAGACCCCGTGGTCAAACTACTCTGAGGTCTTTGTGAAGGTTTAAACTGGTAAACCTTCACAACTGTTTCCCCTCTGGGTACGAATGTACAAACATTTGAGGAAGTTTTGAAATCCAAGGATTGCATTTGTTGCTGTCCTGTGACGCAGCAGAATACTGTCATGATATGAGTTTGTTTCATGATTTCATTATTCAGCATTGTTTGTTTATTTATTTTATGGATTTTGATATCCTTCATTAATCCCTGAGGGAAATCGGGTTTACACTGTTATTTATCGGGACATGCTTTTTACACACATAGGCTGATGAGGTGGGCGTGGCTGTTGAGCAGAGGCAGGGTGAGTGGAAAAGTACAGAGTGAGCGAGTGAAGGCAGAGGGGCAAAACTTTGACAGTGTCTGCTTCACTCATGTTTCATAACGCCTAATGCTAACCGCTAAGCTAGGGTGACCATATTTTAAACCTCCAAATCTGGAACCTTTACTTTAAACCTGAAACATATCGATCCACAGATCGTTGACCTGCACTGCTGACACACGGTGGTCGGTGAAGGTTTCCACCTGAGCTGCTCCTTTAAGTTGGTTGTCAGCGGCGTTTGCTTCACTGTGAAGTGTACTCGAATCCGGGCTCGGGTCCCAAATGTGAAACCACGCTCCCTGAAAACACTGGTCAGTGTTAGCTCATGAGCTAAACTAACCAAGCAACAGCTGCAACCCTGAGGTTGATTGACACATGAACAGACAAATCAGTGTTGAGCTTTGACTCGTGGTGCATTACTGATGTTTTTCTATTGGTGAAAACAGCAGCAGCCGTGGCAACCGCATTGATTGACATATTTACGGACAAATGAATGTTGCAAATATTGTTTTGTTTTTTTAAAACCAGAGCAGGGACTGTTCAAAAGTTCTACACTTCTCTTATCAGACTCTTTTATCCAAAGCGACGTACATCAGAGAGTAAGAACAACACAAGCAAGGATCTAGAAAAAAGGGAACAATGTGAGTAAGAGCAAACGATCAGCTTTGAGTCTGATTGGACACACAGGTGCTGACAGGAAGTGACCAGAGGCAAAGCACAACATTGAGGGCAGTTCTTGAGAGCTCTAATCAGTATAGAAACCATCTTATAAGTCGTCGTTATCAAACAAAAACCATCGTCATTACCATCATCATCATCAATAATATGGAGACCATCATCATTAAGTTAGTAGGTATTCATGAAAGAGCTGGCTCTTTAGCTTTTTCTTAAAGGTGCAGAGGGACTCTGCAGATCACATGGAGTTTGGAAGTTCATGTGGGACATACTTTGTTTTGTAGATATTTGAGGGGACTCGGGACACAGAGCTTAAAAACGATAAGCAGATATTGCTCGCTAACACTGTTATATGTTGTCTAAAATCACACACTCGCTCCCTCCTCCCTCCATAGTCAGCTCTCTGTAGTGGACTATATAGTGCGCTCAAGTGTGTCCAGTTGACCTGATGATCACCTGCAGAGACAGAGCAGACAGGTCAGATCTCCAGCCAGGTGACACCACAGGGATCACCGCAGCTAAGCCGATAGCGATCCAGTGAAATACGCCCGTGTCGTCTCTGATACCTGATCGTTAATGAAGCCTAAAGCTGGAGCCGCTCTCACTTTCTCCCCCCTCATTGTTTCCCCAGCTTCTCTTCCATCTGTTCTGTTTGAACTCACTAACATTTTCACAGTGGAGATCCATTCCCCAGTGTGTGCTCAGTCAAAACTAAATTAGCATTTCAGTTCTGATGTCTGCTTCCTCATCCAGTGTGCGATGTTTACAGGTGATTTATCTTTTTTGAAATGCGTCTCTGAGACTCCAAAGAGGCAGCGTGTGGCGACGTTTAATCCTCCTCTCAGTGTTTTTAACTCTGACGCTCTAATCCCTCCGCTGGAGAAAGCACAAGTCTTCAGAAAACGCAGCCTTTCTGCTTTAAAGTTTCATCGTCTGTGAGGTTTGTGTGTGTGCGTGCCCGTGTGATTATGTTGTGTGTGTGTGTGCGTGTGTGAGGGACGGGTATCAGCCTGGATTAGTGAGTAAAGGTAAGCGTGTGTCTCTCCCTGTCTAGGCGGATTTCCATCCCTCTCCTCTCCGCTCCGGTCACACACACGACCTGGTTTGAACCTCCTCCGCCGTCTCTTCTCATCTCGTCTCCTCCTCAGAAGCACCCAAGCTGCGGTCTCATGCCGGTCTAACACTTTGCCTTCTCGTGTGTGAATGTGTGTGTGTGAGTGTGAGTGTGTGCGATAGCTTGGTTGTGTTTTTTTTCACCGTCGTGCGATGCCATTCCTCCCTCAGGACGCAGAGCGATTTGATGGGCTGTCTCTCCTCTACTGGTAAGCTAATTTCCCCCCTGCGCTCCACCCTCCTTTTCTCACTTCCTTTCCTCACTTCCTTCCTTTTTTTTTTTTTTTTTTAAAGAAAACCTCGTCTCCTAGGTGTTTTTCAGCGTTTGTTTTCATGCTTTGTCCGCGGGCTGCCGTTCTTGCTGCGTTAGTTGATGTGGGTCACGGACTTCAGAGGGGAAAATTGGTTTACAGCCTGTTTGCTGGCAGATGCCTCTGAGTTTAAGTCCACATGCATGTGTGCACTTCTGGGTCATGCATGTTAGAGCTGCTTTAAAGGAACAGGACAACATTTATTTACATCAAAAAATCACAACATGTGCTCCAGTGTTAATGCACCGGTGTTTGCATCTGCAGACTTGTTCATGTTTTTGTCCCGTCCATCATCAGAGTTGTGTTCTGCTTTTGTTTTGACAAGTTGTTCCTTCAGTCTAAGATAACTACAGCTGTCGTCGGGTTGATATCGACATCAGTTACACTTCTTGAGAGAGTGTAGAATAAAGAGCTGCAGAGATTTATTGCACAAGATGATTGAAGCGATAAATAAACACACCGGTAAGGATTCACTTAAAATAGATTATATTCAAACATTAACTGCTAACTATGATAACTGACTAGATCAGGTATGCACATCTGTAAGTTATTGAATAATAAAATATATATGAATGATAATGTAAAGAACTTAATATGCAGAAGGGACCCATTTCAGGACTAAATTTAAAATTAAGTGTTTGTTTTATGCAGCTGATTTTAATATAAGTTACACTTAGACTCTGTAGCTTCAGTGTTTATCCAGCTCTGCATAGGTCTGTAAACCTTTCTGTGTTCTAACCTCTCTCCATTTTTCAAAAGCATCTCCAATATTGATCCTAGTTTGAGCACGTTTCTGCTCGTGGAGCTTATTAGAAACATGCAGAGGCTTTTTAGGTCGGGTACAATCACTTCTATCTGAACCACTTCTATCTGAACCACTTCTCTTGACCGCTTCCATCGCTGCAACACCTGTTGACCTGATAACTGCTCTCATTTCTGACAAACAGAGGGGCGTCCAAAACGGCCGTGTGGGGGGGGGTCTTAAAAGCGCCTACCTTCTCTGGTCCAAACAAATCCAGAGCATTCAGGAGCAGAATCTAAAGTTAGAAGGAGGACATACTGGCTGCTGCATTGTTGTCAGAGAAGCCAGCACTTCAACATAGCATGTTTCCTTAATGATCAGAGAGTAAGATACCTTTATCATCTCTCTCTCTACACATCTCACTGATTGATTCTTTAAAGCTGTCTTATAGATGACAAGTCACTTTAATTTATAGATTAATTACCGTGAAGCAGATACACTCATGTTAGAAACTGTATCGTTTTAAACAGAGGCTCTGAAGGAGCCATACGACGAGTCCTGAGTCCTGAATCAGCTAAATATCGACTGACCTCTTCTCATCTGATCACCTTATGATCCCGTCTGAACTGAGGCTGAGTTTGTTTACCTTCAGCATTCTGTGACGTCTGATAATCTGTCGGCAACCAGATCAATGTGCATGACTCATCTCGGCCAAGCGTCTCCTGGTTCTGAGCGTTTTGGGAACAAAGCGGCTCCTGATGGCAAAACATTTCATTTACTCACAGACTGGAGATGTGTTCGAGTACTCTTAATTTGATACAAATATGTTTTTTTTAACACTTAGTTTCTGTCCATTCAGAGCGACCTGGACACGTTTAGCCGACAACATTCATCACATTTCATTTTTTGTTTTATTTACATGTTGTTGTTTTTATATAACTCCTTAAAAACAAAACAGGACGACAGACTTTCCCTCCCTGACAAACCGGGGGGCCCATAAACGCAGCATCAGAGACGTTCAGACGTTTGTTAACGTTCTCGCCCCGGGAAGTCGGTCACCTCCTCGTCCTCCTTATGACATCACACAGGTGGATCAGGATGCTGAACCATGATTGGTTTATAACCAGCTGAGTCAGGGCGAGAAATATTGACTCTTTAATCTTTAATCTTTAATCTGAGCCCGACATCCGACACTAAACGATTAATCTGGCAGTAAGCGCGCTCCCCTTCTTCTTCTTTTTCTGCGGAGTCATTTTAAAAAATGTGTGTGTGTGTGTGTGTGTGTGTGTGTGTTCAGTCCGTCCCGTGTCTCTGCCGCTCTGTTACTGCGTGTTCCCCTTGGCAGCCGGCCTGTGAGTGATGATAATCGCTTGCGGCAGGTAATGCAGATTATCAGGTATTAAGTGATCAGTTTAATTGCTTCCTCGTGTCCCCCGCTGATGGCTTTGCTACATGTCGTCGTCTGTTTGTGAAGCTCGGAGCTTATTCTCCAGTTATTCTCCTTTTTCAGGGACCTGTTTAAGATGCAATCAAAGACCGTGGTTGTTGGATTTCTCTTTGCATCCTGTGAGCATTAAACAAAATAAAAACATGCAAGCTAAATGAGACAGCAGACGAGGGGGCGGCAGCAGAGGAGCAGCGGAAAGATTGCATTAAGAAAAGTGTCATTTTAGAAAAGTAACTCAGGAAAGAGGTTGTTCGATGTCACTTAGATGGAAACAACAACGAGCAGCTATCTGTCAAATCAGCTTTGTTTGACTTTTTTCCATGAGTCTCGATCATGTGGGTGGATGTGTGCGTCATTTTAAGAAGTACACTGTGTGTGAATAAATATCACAGCCCCACCCCCCCAATGTGACGGTGCACGCTAAAATCCCGCCTAAAGATAACCCTGTTGTTGGAGATAAGTCTCAAACATTTCTGTGTGCGGAGAGGAAACAACATTTTATGGCTTAATGTTCTTTAACAATGATTTATTAAGGACAGTATACTGGGACACTAAGTCAAAAACATTTAAAGGAGATCTATTAAACTAACTGTCACCATGAATGATGTCACTCTGGGACACATGTTGAGCAGCGTTGTGAGATGTGCAGCTCAAAAAACTCGTTATTTATCTGATACTGGCATCAGTAAAATCCCTCATTTCAGCCTCTGCCTGAAACGCTTCATTTCAATTACTGTCTCTTTAAGACCCGCCTCCCCACGTGCCCACTCTCCTCTGATTGGCCAGCTCTGTTAGCAGTCGCAGGGAAATCTGAGTGAGCTTCCGAGTGGGTAAGTCCTTGAAAAGCCGGGGTGGGCGTGTCCGACAACTTTGCTCTGATACATCGGGCAGAACCTGATGGCAGTTCTCCTAACGTCGTTGTACTGGACCATCGTGGTGAAGAGGGAGCTGCGCCTGAAGGCAAAGCTTTCGATTTAAGGGTCAATCAACAACCCAACCCTCACCTGAGGTCATGAGCTTTGGTGGTGACCGAAAGGATAAGATCGTGGACACAAGTGGGGCGACTGACTGTCCTCCTGAGTTCTGGGCTCAGCCTTAGAGGTCCATGACCTCCACATGATGACTGATTAAGATCCTGGACGCCTACCTTTGGAGATTTTCCAGGGACACCCAACTGGAAGGATATGCAGAGCGACTTCAGATAAGCAGAAGAAGATGGATGGATGGACGAGGAGAAGTAAAGAGTGTTCAGTTATGGCGATTGTTTGTGTGTTAATATCACATTTTAAAAACAAGAAATTTCCCGACAGTGGGAGTCTAGGACTTCTTTTTTTGTATCAGCCGTGCATCCATATTGTCGGATTTTTGCAACAATCATATTGAAGTTTGCCCTTTGCCCGCCTCAGCACCATGGGGGGTCAGAGCTTTTAGCTGCTCTGCTCCCCAGCTCTGGAACTCTCTGCCACCTGACATTCACAATATTGACTCTCTCCCATCTTCAAATCCAGACTCAAAACCCATCTGTTCAAGATCGCCTACTCACTCTAACATTTTAATTGTAATTACACTGTCCTACATTTCATTTGTTTTATTGTATGCTGATTTTATCCATCGTTGTTTTTTGTAAATGTTGATTGTTGTACAGTGTCCTTGTGTGTCTTGAAAGGCGCTTATAAATAAAATAAAATGTATTATTATTATTATTATTATTATTATTATTATTAAAAATCAACCCTGGCCACCTCTGCTGCCGCCCCTCGAGTGCAAAGTGTTGAGGAAGGCATTTAAGAACACTGTCAAAGTCATGACCACGGCTACACAGGTCCATCAGGATAATAAATAATATGTCTACTCTTTGGCTGCGTGTTCTGTGAGGTACTAATATTTAAAATAAGCCTCTCCGGAGAGCTCAGAGTGACCTCCGCTTCACCCTGAAATCTTTATTCATCCTCTTCCCTGTACGTTATCACCTTACGTAACAAACGGTATATGTAGCCTGACAGGCAGCACCGCCTCACCACTTGCTTTACCTGAAAACAAAAACGAAAAGACAGAAGGAAACCACGATGACATCAGAGTGTGCAAACAGTCAAGGGCTTCTGATTGCAGCTCCACCTTTACTGCATTTCACTGTCGGAGGAGTGAAGGAACAGAGTTCATCTCGTAAGTCGGAGCTAAAGCTGTCAGACTTAATGAGCAGGAGAGATGTATCTGAGACGAGTTTGAACTTTTACTCTTGTCTAGAAGTGTTGTGGGTGCAGCTTCCCTATTTATTCAGGAACACGTCTGTTTTGTTCTGATTGCTGGAGTTAGAGTAAAGAGTCTTTATCAACATGCTAATCTGTTTCTGGCAGTCTGTAAACTTTACTGTGACCCCTGTTCTTAAACATCATGATGTCTTTTTACACCCTGTATGAAATAAGTTTAATTTGTAAAAATGACTTTTTAGGACGCATACTTTTAGTGTTCATGAAGGGAGACGAAAAGCTGCAGAAGAATCCTTTTCAAACTGTGTTGGTTATAAAAATAAAAAAATAAATAAAACTGTAAAGAAATCTGTTAAAGTTAAAAGCTCCAATCAGTGAGCTGTGTAGAGAGTGAGATGATAAAGGTATCTTACTCTCTGATCATTAAGGAAACATGTTGAAGTGCTGGCTTCTCTGACAACAATGCAGCAGCCAGTATGTCCTCCTTCTAACTTTAGATTCTGCTCCTGAATGCTCTGGATTTGTTTGGACCAGAGAAGGTAGGCGCTTTTAAGACACGCCCCCACACGGCCGTTTTGGACGCCCCTCGGTTTGTCAGATATGAGAGCAGTTATCAGGTCAACAGGTGTTGCAGCGATGGAAGCGGTCAAGAGAAGTGGTTCAGATAGAAGTGATTGTACCCGACCTAAAAAGCCTCTGCATGTTTCTAATAAGCTCCACGAGCAGAAACGTGCTCAAACTAGGATCAATATTGGAGATGCTTTTGAAAAATGGAGAGAGGTTAGAACACAGAAAGGTTTACAGACCCATGCAGAGCTGGATAAACACTGAAGCTTCAGAGTCCACCACATGGTGACCTGAGTGAGCATCCACTATAGAGAGGGGGGGGGGGGGACAGCTCTCTATGATGTTTAGAATTTAGACTGCAGTACCCATTTTAAACACTAGGGGTCACAGTAACATATTACTCTTTTAAACATTTTTTTTGAAGGGTCTGTGAACTGAGCTGCCACTAATGTCCTTCAAATTGGCGACACGTTACAATTTTTGTCAACAATTATTTTCATTTTTGTAAATATAATTGTGTGCAAATTAGTCAAAAAGACAACACATTCACAAAACACATGCAAAGGGTTAAATACACCTCTAACTGCTCTTTAAAGCAAACAGCGTCTCTGTGCTGTTTGTATGTTTGAATGATATAATATTCAGTTATTTGGGGGAAAAATTGGCCCATATGCAAGTCAGCCTCGCTGCAAAAAGCATCTCAGTCCCAAACAGCTCTAAGAGCCGTGCACAGTTACAGTGAAGAAGTTATCATCTGTTGAGAGTTGGTGGTAACTGCGTCGCATTATTTATGAGAAATGTGACGCTTAAACTTTCCAGAAATCAGGAAAATAATTCCTTCAAAACAAAAGCTCTGTAAATATGACTTTGACTGTTATTAATATAACCAGGGGTTAAATCAGTCAGCAGCTCCACACTCTGGAGCTAACTAGTTAATTGTTGCTGTCACATTTAATATGGGGTTTGATATCCAAGGCTTATGGAGACAGCATCAAGCGGACACTTGAGGAACTGCAGGATTTTTTACTTTCGCATTGGCTTCATTTTTCAACACGGGACGTTGGCGTTTAGGTAATCATCAAGTTCTCTGTGTTCTCTTCCATATTGTCATCCTCAATCTGCTGCCAGCATTGATTCTGCTCATCCTCGTCTGCACATCTGTTCCTGCAGATTTGACGTCATTGTTGTTTGTGACTTTGATCCAATTTGCAAAAACCGCATTCCTCGTGTATTATTATTTTTTTAGTCCAGACTCCCATTAAAAAAACAATCTGGAAACAAGCAAATGTCTGAACGAGGCCTTTGTATGTTGCTGTGAAAACAAAGCAGACGGCATATGGATGACTGTGTTGTTTGGTCATTGCAAATCCACTCGGAGTCAACAAAACCAAAAGCTTAGTGCATCACCCCTGTGTTCAGGCCATCCCACGTCAGCTGACCCGTTAGCCTGAGGTGCACTCTTCAGCAGTTTCGATCCCCAGATCTCTCTCTGCATGTTTGAGTGTCCTTGTGCAGAATAAGGAACCTAAAGTTCTCCTGAGGTTCTCCTCCCGGTGTGTGAGTGTCTGTGACAGTGCAGGGCAGAAGTATGATTGTGTGTGAAAGGCTGAATGATAAAATGGTGAGTAAAGCGCTTGGAGCGGGCTGGAAAGGAGCTAAAGACGTGCAATCCATTTACCCCAAACCGGTCTCTGCCATTCATTCTGTACCATATCGTCTAATGTGCTTACCACTTAGCCTCCATCGCTCCCTCATCCCTGCTGGGTTTTTGGCACTCTGCCCCCGTTTACGTGATCACTCACCGGATGACTTTACTTCCTCTTACTTCCTGCTTCACTGACCTTCTCCTGCTTTAGATTGTGAGTGAAACTGATCTTCGGACTTGACTTCTCGGCTCTGTGTGACACAATTTGGGTCGCTAACTGATGCTTCTGGTGCATGGACTATTTCTTTAAGGGAGGCGCCCTTTGTGCCCCAAAACCTGAAGTGTGCTGGTGTGGTTTAGAAACAATAAAATCAGACTCAATCTTCAGCTGTTGCTATGACGATTGTCTCTTTGACCCAAACGTTTTAAAAAGACACAGAATGTAATATAAACCTGCAGGTTCCATGGGATGTGTGTGCCTGGTTCTGTGCACTCCTCTCTAGTCCATGCTCGTGTTTCCACCATGTCTCCAGCAGGTGCCAGAAGCGCCACCACGCTCTCTTTGACCCGTTATTGGTGCCATGGTCATTAAAACTGATATCTATATGTGGGTCTAAGTCTAATATTGTGGCATTATGACAACCCTTATATTTAGAATAGTTAACATGATAGCATGCGGTTTCAGACACAGTTATAACCACCTGATTGGAGGTGTGGATGACTGTGCAATCAACGACGAGTAATCCGCTATACGGGTAGGGGGGTTAAGGGGTGGGTCAAATTCTCTTCAGGACCCCAAATGCCTCGCTGGCCGGCCCTGTGAAGTGAATCTGTCTGCAGAAATACACACCATCTCCACGTTGACATTTTGACACACACACACACACATAAGCGTCTGAAGCTCTGATGTGACGGCGAGCTGAGTCTCTGGACCAGTCCAGCAGACAGCAGGAACACACGGCCGAGGACTCTATCGAACCTTCTCACACACACATCTTTTCACACACTCACTCTCTCAGGCACTATTGAGGATATCATGATCACCCTGTAATGTTTCTGAGTCTGTGATTTAAATCCTGTTTGTTTTTGGTTCCAAACATCTTTGCATGGTGGAGACACCGTGTCGTTAAACAGGCGGGCGATTTTATTGGTTTGGATGTGACTGAGGGAGGGAGTGAGGGAGGGGAGAAAAATACAAAATCCTGGGATGATTTGATTATTTTCTGCAGCCGAGCCCCTTGCAGAGAAAGAGAGACGAAAGAGAGAGAGAGAGAGAGAGAGGGAGAGGGGAAGCTTTGGATGAGTCAGGAGGATGTTGATATGTTTTTGAATCTGCTGTGTGCTCTTGCTCGTTGCCAGGACGATCATGGGCCCGCATGGCATCAACCGAGCCGTACAGAGGCTGGAGTTCTGCGACTGCAAGAAGGGACTGGGTGAGCGTCTTCCTCCTGACCTCTGTGACCTTCTGGCTGTTGAAATGATTTGTTTCCCATTAGACGTGTCCAACCTTACCTGGGTTAATGTGTGCATGCACAGGTGTGAAAATAATTGGAGGTTACCGCGAGTTCACGGGAGAAGAGTTCGGCATCTACATCAAGCGGGTGATAGCCGGTGGGCTGGCAGCCATGGACGGTGGGTCGTTGTTGTTTCTTTATTCTAAGTTATTAATTCATGCAGTTTTATAATCAGTGTTGATGACATGATCCTCCCTCACCTGTTCGCTCTGTCTCTCTCTGATTGTCACTCTATGTTCCAGGTCGGCTTAAGTCCGGCGACCTGATTCTGGATGTCAATAACATCAGTCTGGCCGGGGTGACCAATGAGAGGTGACGTCAACATGTGTTGTGTCTGCAGTTTATAACAGTGTGTGTGTGTGTGTGTGTGTGTGTGTGTGTGTGTGTGTGTGTGTGTGTGTGTGTGTGTGTGTGTGTGTTTTGGCAGTGGTATTTTTAGGTAACAGTTGTTATAAATTCTTAAGCCTTTCTCGTAGTGAAGCTCTTTCGGTTTAAGATTTTCAAAATGTCCAGTACTTTGATCCTTTCTGGGTCTGTATTGTCAGCGGTGGAAGTGTTCTGGTTCCGTTTGTATCACCTTTGTAGTCCGAGCTGTATTGACCAATCTCGTATCAGCAGGCTTTGGCGTCCACATCAATGTCAAACCAGCTCCCAGGGGCGATATTCTAACTTTGAGTTATCCATCTTTATCAACAGAGATCTGCATTCAAGTGTACTGTTTGATTACATGAGGCATTTAAGTTGTGTACTTTATATGTATGCCATGTTCACCTGTACACCAGCTGACAGCCTGTCCTGTCTCCTGATAGGGCGGTGGAGATCCTGCGGACCGCCTCGCTCTCTAATCACATGTCGCTGCTGATCGCCAGAGACGACGAATCCAGGTAGGACGGAACTCGCTTTCATGTAAACACTCAGGTTTTTCTTTCTTCTGGTTGCTTTTTGAAAGTTAAGTTGTAATGGACAACAACTCCCATGATCCACACTTCTTCATGACATCATCAAACTGTCTTGTTGATGTTGTTGTTTTGATCGGCTGAGTGGCAGAGATTACAAAATTCTCTGCTCTGAAACCAACAAAATGAGGTCATTGTTTGCTCTTTTTTGGGAAGACTCTGATTGGATCATTTCCAAACACCTCTGTGTGAATAGAACTGTTTGATGATAATGCTTTAAAAAGGAGACTATCTGACTGTATCGTCTTGACAACAAGCCTTAAGACCCTCTAAAAACTGGTCCTGAGATTTCATCATCACCTAGAACCTTTGTAATACCACAGTGAGGAACATTTAGTTTAAATGTTGGTACTTTGTCCGTCCTTGGTGTAATCTCATGTAGGAATTTGTCAGTCCGGCGGGCAGCGTCCTGCGGTTCACCAGCGGGAGGTAACCTGACCTGGCACTCTGCTGTCTCCTGTGCTTTTCCACGTATCAGCCTGCCACGCAGAGACAAATGCACAGTGACACAATAAGGCCGCTGTGCTGTCCGTCTGCCCGTCCACGGGGTTCGAGCTCCAGATGATCGCAGACAGATCAGCAGAAACAGAACACTCTGGTTCAGCGTTGCACTTTTGTCAGAACGCTCAGCAGGCTCCATTTAATAACGCTCTTTTAGACACTAGCACAGTTCATAGTCCTGCAGTGAAAACAGGAATTATATCACAAGTATCTCAGGTTGCTTTAGGGATGTAAATGTGGGTCTTTGGATTAATCTCTAAAAAACTGACCCTTGATATTAAAGCAGAGAGTGAAGGCGAGGGATCACTGGAGGTGAAGCCGTTAGTAATCTGTTGACGTCTGTCGTATGCATTATCCGTTAAAGCTTTTTTTGGGAACTTTTTAAAAATGCAGAACAAACTGTGTAGCAAAAAAAACATCGACTGTCAGCTGTTGTCTGACAAGCTTTTGATGAAAGAGCTGCAGACAGAAATAGAGCAGCGGAACTGAAATGGTAAAAAATGCATGAAGTGATAAAGGAAGAATGCAGAGGGAGTACCAAGGGGGACACATTCTTAAAAAGATGATTTTTTTTTGGTAAACAACACAAATACTTCAAAGATAATATGCAAAAAAATAATGCAACTCTTTCTGATTGATGGTCATACAAGGCAATTTAATTTTTTAATAGTTATGTGTGTATTTGTGTTTCAGGAGGGAGTTTGCTGAGCTGATGGAAAAGTACGGCTCCAATAACGTCACAGCTTCAGGACGGATCTCCCCGACTCAGCTCTCCACAGGTAAACACACAGATACGTACACGTGTTTCTCAACCAGGATGTGCGTTGACCAAATACAAACTGTTAAAGAATACAAGCCGCACATTTTCCTGAAGCATGCTGAAGCTCCAATAAAGGTTTTGAATGTTTAAAAAATCCTCATTTTTTCTAGTTCCTCTTCTTTTTTTTAAATGTCATCCCTTTTTAAACATTTTAAGATGCAGGTAAGCAGTATTCAAAACAAAGTCCTCACCTCTGGATATTCAATCATTCTTGAAATGTCCTCACTTTACAAACCTTTTGTAATCTTCTAAATAGTTCTACATACTTGTGCTCTCCTTTTTTAAACATCCTGAGCTTCTAGAAGTGTTTTAAAGGTGACATATCCTCCTCTTCTTCTTCAGTTAAATAAGTCTCAGAGCTCCTCAAAACATGTGTGTGAAGTTTCTTGTTCTAAATCCACTCTGATCCTGTATTTGATCATGTCTATAAACCCCTCTATTTCAGTGTCCTCTATGTCCCCCTGTCTGTGTACAGTCTGTCTCCTCCTGCTCACCTGTCCAGTGTCTTCTTCTCTTGTTTCTGTTCAGGGAAGTTCACAGACACGGCCTCCTCCTCCTCCTCGTCCCGATCAGAGAGTCCTCAGCTCCTCAGTCCTAAAGAGGGAGTCACTGCCTACACCCATAACCCCCCTTACAACGCTAACTCCGCCTACACCGTGCACACGCCCACGCACGCCTTCAGGTAAACAGGATGCTCACAGCGGCACAATTCATTTTAAATACAAATTAACTCTGGATGAGTACATGCTAAAAGTAAAATGTCAGGCAACTTTTTTTTCAAGCTAATTAACTCTGCCCCCTAGTGTTTAAAATGTGTACTGCAGTCTAAATTCTAAACATCATAGAGAGCTGTCCCCCCCCCCTCCTCTTTAGAGTGGATGCTCACTCAGGTCACCATGTGGTGGACTCTGAAGCTTCAGTGTTTATCCAGCTCTGCATGGGTCTGTAAACCTTTCTGTGTTCTAACCTCTCTCCATTTTTCAAAAGCATCTCCAATATTGATCCTAGTTTGAGCACGTTTCTGCTCGTGGAGCTTATTAGAAACATGCAGAGGCTTTTTAGGTCGGGTACAATCACTTCTATCTGAACCACTTCTCTTGACCGCTTCCATCACTGCAACACCTGTTGACCTGATAACTGCTCTCATATCTGGCAAACCGAGGGGTGTCCAAAACAGCCGTGGGGGGGGTCTTAAAAGCGCCTACCTTCTCTGGTCCAAACAAATCCAGAGCATTCAGGAGCAGAAAGTTAGAAGGAGGACATACTGGCTGCTGCATTGTTGTCAGAGAAGCCAGCACTTCAACATAGCATGTTTCCTTAATGATCAGAGAGTAAGATACCTTTATCATCTCTCTCTCTACACAGCTCACTGATTGGACCTTTAGATCTATTGGTACAGATGCAAGACAGAAACAAAAAGACTTCTTTATCATTTATTTGACCCATGTACTCAGAGTAAAGTTGGTTAAAGAAGTGAGATGGACTTTTAATACTTTACATTTCTGCATATTCAATCTTAAAAAATAGAAATGTTGACCTTTATCGATGCAAACGTGAAACAAATTAAAATTATTTTACACTGATTTACCGCTGTGATTATTCCGCATATTATGCACAATAGAGTCTTTTACAATCAGCACATTAGCATTATCAGAAGCTTCTTGTTAAAATCAATGTTTGTCTTATTGGATGACGGTTACATAAATACGGGCTAGGAACACCGGTAACGGCTAAAAATAGCCTGAAACATTTTCATCAATTTCCAGAGTGTTGTAAGAAGACTGAAGAGAGAGGAAGAGGAGGAGGAGGGTAACAGATTATGTCATGTGGGATTGAATGTGAGCGGCAGCGGCGGCGTGGCTTTGTAGTTTTTAATCATGCTTAGTGTCATCCTCTCTCCCCGTCTCTCTCCCCAGTGACAGCATCATTCAGTTAATATGCGTCGCCAAGGGAACAGGCCTGGGGCTGGTCATCAAGGGTGGAGCCAACAGAGCAGAAGGACCAATGGTGTTCATTCAGGAAATAGTGCCTGGAGGAGACTGTCACAAGGTCAGTGCCCTCAATGAGTGCTTAACGCGTGAAAGAATCCTACAAAGCCATCAATTTATTTCACACAAACGGAATGAAACACAGTGAAAGTGGAAAAAAAACAGGAGGAATGTGTGATCTGGACTGAAATATGACAGGAAATGTGTGAGTTCTACAAACAAAAAGAAAGCCGTAAAACCAACAAGAAAGAGTCAATTCAAAGCCTGTAGATTATTGAATTGTACTTGTTAAGCGCATTTGTGTGCACAGACTGTCCTACCGTTTTTAAAGTTCTGATGAAGAGGTCAAAACATTTTCATTTTTAGATTACTTAGGTACATTACATTTAAATATATTGACACATTGACTCAAGTGATTTCTTGTTTTCAGTTATCAAAACATTACAAACACGTGCTATCTGTCTAAATTGCACAAAAACATTGGCAACTTTTCGGTACTGACACATTTCTATGCTATCAATAAAAAATAAATAACTGAGATTGTTTTGTTTTAAATCGAAAATAAAAAAGTATCCAAACTTTTCGGTGATACTAGTTGTAGCAGTAATGCTAACTTCTAATCGTCCTGTCCCATTAACTTGTGGTGTTCCCCTCGGCACTGTCCTGTGACCCCTGTACTTTTAGTTTACTTCTTAAACTGAGAGTCATCAAAAAGCACATAATTCACCTAAAGCGTTACGCAGATGACACCAAGTTTTATATCAAAACTCTAAAAGGGTTTTTAGCTTGCAGGGAAACAATCACAACATGTATTCACTGTATTAATAGCTGAATGAATATCAATCTCATATTTTTTCTTGCTTTTGAAAAGCTCATATTTTACTCCACCTTGTGCATATCTTATAAATACGCTTGTATGTTCTTTACTAATGTTTGGTTTGAAACTTAAGGCTGCTTCGTGTTTTAACCAAGGCCATCATATGAACAACAGTATTGTAATCACGGAAGAAGAAAATGTACCAAAAGTCACAGAAAATATGTTTTTGGATTTGGTCCACGTAATTCCAGGACCATGAAGTGAATGTTTCTGTATTTTTTGTGTCGTTTCAGGACGGCAGGCTGCAGGTCGGAGATCAGCTGGTGTCTATCAACAAAGAGTCCCTGATCGGAGTGACGTATGAGGAGGCCAGGAGCATCCTGACACGCACCAAGCTCAGGTCAGAAAACCCCGCAGACAGAAATTATTCAAGATGCAAAAGAAGTTTGACTCTAAAATAAGATTCTGACAGAAGAAAAGTCACGATACACTGCAAAAGCAGAAATCTTAGCAAGAGTATTTTTTCTCATTTCAGGTCAAAAATATCTCATTACACTTTTTCTAAGTCACATTCACCTGACGCTCCAGATAAACATCTTCTTTCAAATTCAAATTTGACTTGTGTTCCTTGAAATGGGATTTACGTACTTGTTTAGATAGATTTGCTCAGATTTGTATTTTTGCAGTGTAGCTGTTTGTTGAAGTTTTTGTGTAAATATTTTGACTCTATGATTAACTTTTGGACTTCATTCTGATGCTAAAACAACAAGCGGATAGTTATTATATGATTTATTATTTAGTTTTAAATGTCTCTGTGTTTCAGACCGGACCCCACAGTAGAAATTGCCTTCATCAGGCGGAGGTCATCCTCCAGCTCCAGCAGCGGGCCTCACAGCCCCATCTCCCTCCAGGGGCCCAGTGGAGGAGTCGGACCCCAGACGAGGAGCCCGGGGCTGGGGGTCATATCTCCTCAGCCTGCTGTAATCACCAAGATCACCTCGAGCCGAAACCCGGCCAGCGAGACTCTGCCGACCGTCAACGTGAGCCAGGTGGGAGGTCCAACACAAAGAAATGATGATTTAAGACGATGATTAAAAAGAACGACTCGTTTTCTCTTAAACTTTTCATCTCCATTCCAGGAAAAAGACACAAAATAAAACAATATCAACCTCAAAAACTAATGTCAGATAGTCTCAGAAACTATTTAACCCGGCAGGAGAGAGTGGAGAGAGGGATCCTCACACATGAACACACTCTTATCAAACTGCTGTGTACATGTTAAAATGTTTGCAGGTGCGAGTGCCTGCGGCCAGAACAGAGCCGACATGCATCCCCTCGCCACCAGAGGGCGACAGAATCACAGAAACAAACCCTGGTATGTTCCTTCATCCTCTGATACTCTGGTTCTCTCTCTCTTTCTCTCTCTTCTTCTTTTCCTTTCCACATAATCACGACACATATTTCTGATTAGATTTTGATATGTCTTGTTTTGTTTTGCATGGATGTTAATAATAAAATAAAGCTGCATGGATATGTAATGGAAGAATTAAAGAGTATCCTAAAAGAGCTAAGTAATTATCAGGAGAGAAAATAACTGGAAATCGGAATCGCCTTTCATAAAACTAAATCTAGTTATAAACCTTTGCCTGAAACTGGAAATTTAGCCTTTAAATCTCAAGTTGCATGAAGTTAGACACAGTAAACACACCTCTTTCTGTTGCTTCAGACAGAGGTGGACTTGTTTTCCTGATCACTCTGACTCTTATTTTTTCACTCTAACTGCACATGGTTGTTGGCACCGCTGTTTGTGAATTAGATGCTTTTTGATATGAGGCAGATTTGCATAGAAAGGGGACAAAGTTTCTCCAACTGACTGCTTAATGGCTTATTTAAACGTGCAAAAAGTGTACAAGACGCTTTTTGCTCTGCAGCGCAGTTAGGGGAGCATTTAACCCTTTGCATGTTTTTTGTGAATTAGACTGTCAGAAGCCGTACAATCCCTTTTGGAACAGACCCGGAGTATAATGTCTAACATCATGTCTTTCTGTGTCTGTTTCTCCAGAACCTTCCAGCAGTCAGCCTCCTCAGACCAAATGCTCCATCAGCACTAGCTGTCGCCTCAAACTGGACCGACTGGAGCAGGTAGGAGCGTCCATGTGTGTGTGTTTTCAATATTTTACATATTCACATCTCCTCATGTTCTCATAACAAACTGGCTCAAAGTGACAAAGAAAACAATCACACATGGAATAAATGTTCAGGCTAAATACATATATGTCTGACTGGAAAATAAAATGTAATCTTCGTAGCAGAGCTTCGATCCTCCATCGACGGTGCAGCTCTGAATATGTTTACGCTGATACAGACAGAAAGCTTGGAGGTCAGATTCTGCCCGCAGGCCTCAGCTGGCCTCGCTCAGCAACAAACAACAACAGTTCAGGGATTCTTAAACTTTTAAAAAAGGCAAATGTCTTCATGAATTGAAGATATAATTTTCCAGACGAGGGTCAGCTCGCCTTCATCATCGCAAAAAAAAGCAAGAATGATGACGAGCTGTGAGCGGTTTGTATCCTAACGTGACAGCAGGATGTGTCTGTTTGTGAATGTTTGTGTCAGGGCAGCGGCAAAGTGTGTATTGATCTGTGTGTGTGTGTGTGTGTGTGTGTGTGTGTGTGTGTGTGTGTGTGTGTGTGTGTGTGTGTGTGTGTGTGTGTGTGTGTGTGTGTGTGTGTGTGTGCAGGCTCTGGATCTGCTCGGTCTGAAGCCCACAGAGGCTCAGTGGCAGACGTTCAGGTCCAGACTACAACCGGATGCTGAAGGGACGGTGGCCTTCACAGGTACTTATCTCAATCCTCTCTTACCTCTTCTCCTCCCTTTATTTAAAAACCTCTGCTCAACTCAAGTTTAGTTTTTTTTACAGCTTCCTGTAGTTTATGCAGATATTTAACTGACAGATTCTCGTTAGCTGTAGTCTTTAGGCTAATGTAGCGGACATCATGCTGCACGCCTCGATCTGTTTTCTCTGAGAGTTTGGTGTCATTGCTCATCTCCCTGTTCTGTGTTTTTTGTGTTAAATATGGGAGAATCATAATGCAGGGTTTGTAGTTTCACTTGTACTTTGACTTCTTCTAACAGCACCGACGCATTTATGTTTAAATCTTCGACTTGGACAAATATTTTTTATTTTTTTGTATTTGTTGATGTGGCAGTTTAAAGTACATTTTAACAATGGATGGAT